ACCGGCTCCGGGAGGCGCGCGGCGCCGCGGGTGACACGGCGCTCACTGCGCAATGCATGCGGCGTTCGGGCCGCGGCAACCTTGACAGGCCACTCGGGAGGGACATTCCAGGCGGTGTTTACTCGAGATGCCGCGGCCCGCTCGAGCCCTGGAACTAAGTTGGGCCTCTCGTCGGTCGCCCCCCACCATTAACGGCCGTTCTCGTCATCCACGGGCTGCCCCGACGCGAACTAAGTTGCTCGCCTTCGACCGATGGTCTTTCCCGAGCGACTCGCACCCGGGCCCGAGGCGCGGCAAGGTCCACAGACCGAGCGCCGCGCCAAGTCCTGGAACCGCTGCATCGGCTAGCGAAAGACGCGTTTTAGCCCAGATCTGACAAAACGAGCAAAGCCTGGGGGGGCTGATCTCAGATCAAGCCATACCACCCGCATACCACCCGCATACCACCCGCATACGACCAGCATAGCAGCCGCATACCACCCGCATAAAACCCGCATAAAACCCGCATACCACCCGCATAAAACCCGCATAAAACCCGCATAGTAGGCGCATACTACCAGGCATACCGGCGGTCAACCCCCTCGGAGAGCACTGGAGTGATCGCGAGCGAGGATCTGATCTTTGAACGTCTCCGCCTCGCGCCACGCCGACTACCGCACGCCGCCCGTGTCCGTCCGCCCGTGTCGTCGGTCGAGTCGTAGAATCTACTTCGAAACGGGGACGCGTTTGGCGCCGCCTCTCGCGACCAGGGCCGCACGCCTTCAAAACCGGGGGCGGGATGAAGCCGGCGGATCGTCCGCCCCCCTCTTCCGCCCACCTGCCCCTCTAGGACGGCCCGCGTAACGGAGGTCGTCACGGAAGATTCTCCTAGTCGCCGTAAGCGAAGAAGGTCGGCGCGTCGCGCGCACGCGCGGTCCAGACGGCGACGTAGGCCGAGACCGCGCAGAGGGGCGCGAGCGCCGCGAGGTCCGACGCGCGCGCGGACAGGGCCAGCATGAGCACCGTCGCGAGGGGCGTGCGCGTCACCGACGCCTGGACGGCGGCCATGGCGCACATGACGACGGGCGCGAGCGGCGAGACGCCGCGCGCGAGCGCGCCGGCGGCGAAGAAGAGCGGGAAGATGACGCCGCCGGGGAAGCCGCCCGCGACCGCGAT